TATTTACATGGTATATGTGATTTATTCGTTGAAAGAGTTCTTGAATGGTTAGATCAATTCCTTGCAGAACTACTTAATTTGTAATTGTGTGTACCATAATCACACAATGGCTTATCTGGCTTTGCCAACGGTAATTAGAAGGTTTAATGTCGACTAATAAACAGTTGTACAGGACGCAATTGCTTTTACCACAAACGTAACTCGTTTCTGTTGTGTTGGGGCTATAATTTGTGTTACTAGTACGACTCGTGTTTACTATATTTGCATTTTCGTATGTGGCACGGATCTGACTCGATTTTACAATGTAAGATATTGAGAAATATGTCTACTTAGTGTTTGAATTAATTATGCAATTAATTACTCAAAGTATTAATGAAGGAATCTCATAATTTAGATATTGTAGAATTAAATTTCAAATATTTTTATACATTCGAAAACCAATAACCTCAGTGTTTTCATTGTTTAGTGAGTAATAGAAATGGTGTATACTGAAATAAGTGTCAAACATATGTTTCAAATTATCGACTGATATGTCACCTTACGATTTTGAAAATAGCATACTTCTTATTTGGATATTTCTTCAACTATAACCGATCGACTCGTTACGAAGGGTCGTCTGTCGTGTGAATTAAGGTTGCTTTCCCCTTTTTAGTTTTCCAAATCGAGAGTCGTAACGAGCACATGACACGGTCGTCGCATAAAATCATACTCTATAGTTTTCTAGTTCATTTTTCTTACGTATGTAATATTTCGCTAAATTACTGGAGTCGCGAAATTCCTCTACGATAACGAACATTCATTCTTCTATTATAAACTAAATTTACAACACTAATAACGTGTTAAGTTTCGACAAAATACAGGGTGTTCGGCCACCCTGGGGAAAATTTTAATTGGAAATTCTAGAATCCAAAATAAAATGAAAATCAAGAATATCAAATTCTTGACGTTAAAAAGTTATCAAAAAATTTCAAATCACTCTAAAAAAAATATTTTTGGCTGCGGGGGTCGATTGCAATCATTTTTGATGGATGAACATATCCCCAAATTCCTACCCACTTTCGAGAAAAAAATTCAGGCAGGTGCTGAAATTTTTCGGTGAAAAGTAAATTTTCAAATCGTTCTAAAAAAATTATTTTTGGCTGCAGGGGTTAATTGTAATCATTTTTGGTGATTAGACATATCCCCGAAATCCTGCGCATTTTCGCGAAAAAAATTCGTGAAGGTGTGAAATTTTTCGACAAAATTGAAAAATTTCAAATCGTTCTAAAAAAATTATTTTTGGCTGCAGGGGTCAATTGCAATCATTTTTGGTGAATACATATACCCCCGAAATCCTGCGCATTTTCGAGAAAAAAATTCAGTACGAGCGGAACTTCAAACGTTAATAACTTTTTAACAAAGCCTTCATCAACAAATTGGTATTCTTGATTTTCGTTCTATTTTGGCCTGTAGAATCTCCCATTACAATTTTTCCCAGGTGTAGTCGAACACCCTGTATGTTTCTACTACCGATACTAATATTCTACAGCGATACTTGTCCGCTAGTATACGACCCAAGCAATATATTCCGCAACTGCACTGGTTTTGTCATGGAGCTTTTACGTCTCGATATACAATCGTATTGATCGTAAGAAGAGCGGTAGATCGAGATAAAGAACCGATCAGCATCCATTTGGCGACTCCGTTCCGCGACAAAGTTGCCCGGCGATCGATGACGAAAACATAACGGGCCGGAGAGAAGTAGGTGGACTCGGTGATTTAAGAAATACGAGGATACTTTGGTGTAATGGCCATTATCATTCGTTATTCCCAATAGAGATTAAAGTTAGCTCGCGTTCGAGCCACCGATCAGACGATAAAAGGGGACGAAGTGATTCGATAGCTCGTGAATTTCTTGGCGGACGTACGCGCTGGGATGCGGTCAAAATACTCGTGTTACTTCGGCCGTGATCTACCCAGAGAATTCACCTGGAAACTCTGACTATCGATTCGTTGGGATATAATCCCACCAGCGGCTGTCGGATGCCGCCTCCGGTGGCGAGAGCGAGGCTGCGCCAGACAATTGTTAACAGAAGTGTATTGAAAGGATCAGCCTTATCAAGCTGCTGATTGACGTTTCATATCAAAGTACATGGCCAGCGCAACCGGCCGAAACGGTTATATTCATCGATCTGTATTCCATTGATTAAGTGGAACGTGTCCGTCGAGATTCCCGCCGACCAGACCCAGCCGCGATTTTAATCGATAGGATTATTCTGTTCCGCTGCCCCGTCTACGAGTGCCCGCCCGCGGACCCTGTTATCGATCTAATTTCGTTCGTTTTTCGATCGTACAGTTGCGTTCGTGCACCGTAACGAGAGAAATTCGAGCAACCTAGCGCGCGGCGAACAGTAACCGAGGACCTACGCGTGAAAAATAGTGATTGCCCTGTTGAGTAAATAATTGGAGCGCTATATTACCGATAGTATGGAAATTAGTCTGAAGAGTGGACTGCAGAAGGACGAAGTGAGGAGTGGGAGAAGAGCGAAGCAGAACATGTTGGAACGTAGAAGTACAGACAAGGTATACGAGTAGACCTTATGTGGACTTTCGTGGCCCAATCTGACAATGAGTGTCATACTGAAAATTTGGAGATGATTTTAGCGTCCTCTTCTCGTGGATGACGGTCACTTGAGAAACTGTTCACTGAATCAGTGTGGATGGGCATAGAAGGATTGAAAAAGTCAATTCAGTGTTATCAGACGGCGGGCCAGTGCCCGAAGGTAACTGCCCCTCCACTTACACACACTAATGCATAGCCACTATGAATTTTGACGCTGCATATAGCTTCGGGGGTTCGAGGAAGAAGTAGTAGGTTCTAATGGACCCCTACAATAGTGAATGTACACATATTTCACTGAAATTTATTTATGAAGTTGAGCTCATGAATACCTACAAAATGTATAGACAAACTCCCGAACGGATCGTAGGATTTTAATGTTTCAAAATGCATACAACGCGTATTTTAGCGAAGAATATGTAGAAAATCCAAGAAAAATACATTGGATCTAAGGTCTACTCATATACCTCATCTGTATTAATAGAATTTATCTTCGTTTGTTTCTTATTATTGAACTGCGAATGTTTGTATTTCTAGGAAATAGATAGAAGAGTGAAACATAAATAGAAGTTTGTTTCATCACTAGATGTATGTATTTACAATAATGTTGAAACACTGCACACATCGTAGGTCGTATTTCCCTTTTCTCATTCAACATTCGCTGCTCCCCAGAATCTCTTTGCTAAAGAAACATGCTCCAATAACTATCAAATATTAAGATATCGAATACGGTTTTACCGGAGACCACAGCATTTAAAAATACACAGGCTCTAGCGATTACGTTTGATGTACAATGTGAACTCTACCCCTAAGTTTGTATCCACTTTAATGCAGCCTTGAAAGACTTAACGATCCACTTTGGGAAACACTGGCACGCATTAATCCTAATCCTACCAGAATGTAACTTTGGGTCACATATCAAGTTTGAGTAATTTTATGTATTAACGAGATTTACAAGTCGCCCACATGCGATCCATTTAAAACTTTCAAATTCTGTTCTCAAACTGGTAATCAGCGACCCTAAAAAGCTCTTACGTGCAAATTTTCATTAAAATGTGAAGCTCTGTGGTTTTAACAGGCTCTTATTAATCTGCTTTACTGTACGGCATGTTAAATATTTAATTCGTAATAACTTTTGAAAAAATAAAAATAGCATATTTTGTCTAATATCTCGTTAACACTAAATTTATGGACTACAATTGCACATATTTTCATTGAAACCCATTACATTCAAATTCTGTTTTCATGAAATTTCATGATCATGAGAATTCATGTCATTGAATCGATCAAATTCAATGTAAATTGTTAACAAATAATATTTATAAGTTCTCTAATGTCGAGTATGGAATCTGAAACCCGTCAAATTGACAAGTTCCATAAATCTAGTGTTCAACGAGGGTTTAAGGTGCAGTATGCAACAAAAATCATAACCATATGTGGAGTTAGCGGAACACTAACGATCAAAGTTAACGTGACCCTCTACTAAAACGCCATCTTTCGAGTCACGGTCGTGAATGGAGTTTAATCGTGAGCGTGATCATGATTTCGTGATCTCTCTGATAAATTACTGTTAGTGATTTTACACGCCATCTCTGGTACGTATGTGTTGTCACCAGGTCCGAAAGGGTTAAAAGAGACCGTCGTGGAACCGATACAGATATAATCAGCGCGGCGAACATCTGTAGCTGCTAGAGTTGAACGTAGCTTACCAGAGGCCAATCCTTGCGGTCGTCGTGTTCTATGAGGATTTAAACTAGACGCAACCGTCCCTCTGTAATTCCTGATCCGGATTTGAATTTGCCCGTAGTCGTCTACCATGCGGGTCTTCCCTGCCGAAAGACGTTTCCCCCGCCTCATCCATCCAGCCGTCGTAAGCCATTTTCATTCCCCATAAGACGATAAATCCTCCGATCAACTGGTGTAAATTGGAATTCCAGGTATCTCGGGGCTGGAACGCGGCGACTCCGTGGACCATTTTTCCCATTGTTGTCCCCCGGTCGATTCCACGGATCGCGACATCGTTCGAACGGAGCGCCCGTGATCGTTGATTCTTTATTGGGCCATTTTTTAATCCGGCCCTCCGTATCGCCCGGAACGATCGCGCCGGCGATAAGTCATCCATCGAACCGTGATAAGAATAATTTACCGGGACGCGCGATAATCCTGTGACGCACGATGTTCATTTTTTTCCCCCGTGGCACGCGCGCGCGCGCGCGCTCGCGATATCGACGAATTACGATCCCGCTGAAAATCGACAACTCGAATCGACGCCGCGGCGCTCGCGTTATCGCACGGCGTCGTTCGCGGCGGTCGAATTCTCAGCTGGCCGCGAAATAGACGCACGACGGGTAAATTACGTAACGCACAGCACCCCGTTTCTGTCGTTCCAGAGATGTGAGGAATGATCACGTGGGTGATGGTCGGGCTGCTCCTGGCTGCGGAAACTTGCGGCAGAAACGTCCTCTCCGGTAACGGAAACGGGAAGGAGGAGACGAAGCAGAAGGACGGCCTGAAAGGAGTCACCACGGACGAGGAGGACATCTACCGTAGGTATCGTTGGCGAAGAAAGAGAGAAGGGCGGGAGGGGTCGAGGAAGGGCGGAAGGAGGCAAACAGATCTATGATTTACTCCGAGTAACTCGAGTAGCTTATCCCGACCCCCCCTCGAATCCTGCAATTGAGCTCCACTAATCCTCCATCCCTGCCTTCCACAACTTACAGATCTCGCCTCTCTCCTTTCTCCATTACCGTGCTCCCCACAAATCATTCTATGATCTACACACCTGACCTGTAACATATTGTTCGGAAATATCGCGGAACATGCCCGCTGCCAGGCTTTATAAAACGTCGGCTCCGATAAGTAGTTAAAGTCTCGTTTAAACCGAGCATCGACGTTTCGTCGAGCCACCCACGTAACCATGAGATGCGCGAGAATGTGCTCCGGCTACTGTAAAATAGTTCCCCGAGTCAACTCGCGCTCTCCACTCCCACGAAATAGAACGACTCGTTTTAATGACGCTTCGTTATTATTTGGATTAGCCAAAATGTAATTGCTTTTTCTCTGTGCAAATGAACAGCGGAAACTTTAATCAAGAATGCATTGACCAATTTGGTAAAGATCAACATTAAGTAAAATAATCCAGTTGAAATATCGAACTTACTAAGGTATTCAAGTTGTTTAAAATTGTTTTTAACACTCGATTTTAATATGTTATTTTCAGTAATCTCTCGTGTTGTTAAACGTCGATCAGAACCGATCGACGTTTCTATTTTATCATCATTAACTTCAATCAATCTTCCTGAGTGTTTTTAACGCTCAATTTCAATATGTTAAGACTCTTAGCAATCCCTCGTGCTGTTAAACGTCGATTGGAACCGATCGATGTTTCCATTTTGTCGTCATTAACTTCGATCAATCTCCCTGAATGTTCTGCGTCTTCAAACCAAAATTGTACAAATCGATTCCGACATTGTCGTAGTTTTAAAGCATTTTCATTATGCATACGGATCACGTAACTTATTCAAAGATTGGCAAGGTACACAACCTGCACGTAAGTTGGTTTCACCCTATTTCTTATTCCCCGGATTTTCAATAAACAGACATCCCCGAACGTTCGAGTAACTCTGTAAATACTGTTATAAATGCGCCCGCGCGTTGAAAGTAGAAAATAAAAAGGTCCGAATCTTCAAAGACAGAAGTTCTCGTTTCAATGGCTCTCTGCGAAATACGTTATTTAGAAGAAAAGATCCGGCGAAAAAAAGGAGCAACCGTAGCTTCCTGCCTCCGGTAGTTTCCGTATAATGAGGTTATTTGATCGTCGAGGAAAGATGTCAAGAATGCACGGAAGCTATTTCGATGAAATATATACGGTTTCAAAAACGTAACGCGCCTTTGAAGTTCGATCGAAGATAAACTAAAGTACATTTCGTGCGCGGAGTAGCGTGGTCCTTACTTTTCAACTTTCAATTACATTTTGACGTACCCTCCAGATTTTGATAGTTTTAACGAAGTCTCGATCAAAAAGTTGTTATTTTTTATTTTATTTTGGCCTCTAGAATCTTTCATTAAAATTTTTCCCAGGAGTGGTCGAACACCCTGTATATTAATAGTAGCTGTATATTACTTTCAACGATGAGGCCATAGGAACAAGAAGCGGCTCTTAGAGACAGTGAATGTGTACAAAAATGGAGATCAGAAGTTGGGGCATGACGAAAGTCAAATTATTGAAACAAAGCTTCTTAATAATAGACAAGTATTGTGTATTAAAATTGAATCTATGTAAAATTGGATCTGATAGCAAGTGATCGTGATCAATACTCAAAAACTATTAGCATTGCATGAAACTTGGCGTACAAGAAGAACAGAAGACTATAACTGCGTACTCGAAAAATGGTTTTTGAGATCTCCTCTTCTACTAAGTTAACAATCAAGCGGCTTTTATTGATTCTCGTGATAAAAGAAAAGAACCTTCTCCTAGCACGATGCAAAGAAACATAATTTTTTGACACACGATCGTACGTGTCTCCTTGTCCTTTCAATCGAAAATAATCGAATGACAAAACGTAGCACGCCTACATTCGGTTTTAGTTTCCATACATAATGGAAAGCCACGAATTATGACTCACTCCCTATGTTATATGCGATGTTTAATAATAAATTGAATGGTAGTATTTGAGATCACACGTAATGTTATTGTTTTATTATAATTTCACCAAAAAACATCGGTTAATAAATTTAGAATAAGACGATACAAGTGTATTCGACTCTAATGTGAAATCGTTATAATTTCAAAACTTCAAATCAAATGCAATACGTGTTCTAGTTGTCCAATTACGCTAAAATTTAGCATAAATGATTTCTTCGTCAAGTGTCACGATCTATGGGTTTGCGTAAAAAAAAAAAGTAAAAACATCATTTTGACCCCTGTAGTTGAGGACCACCCTAGTACAGAGACCTAATGGAGCTCAGATAAATCGTCTATTTGGTTGCTCGGCAGCGGAAAAGGAAACGTTTATATCGAACGAACTGTCAGTTAGCTCGGGGGAGGGCAAAGCTACCAGGAACTACTTCAATTCGAGCGTCGAAAGTATTAATTACGACGCCGGACCGGGACACAATGCGCCTGGTGCAGCCCCGGTTAACGATGCGTTCCGAGGAAGAACGCTTTGTCGCGCGACTCGACGACGTTGTGAGTTCCATTCGACGGGACAATCCATTTTCCTCCGGACGTAAAGTGTACCGCGCGCAGAATTATATCGAACGAACGCCTAAGCGTGTTTAATTGTTACCACTCTCCGCCCTTTGTCTCGTACTTGAGCCTGGCTGGGCGTCTCTGCAACGCTATTACTCACTCCAACGCCCCTCTGTTGTGTTCCAGGTCTAACGTGCTACACTTGCGTCAACGTCAGCGATAACCAGGTATCGAGGAGTCCATTAAACGCTCTCTTAAGAGTCTGTAATGCCTGTATCGTGCCGGGTCCAGCCGCAATTTCGTTTAGCCCCGAGGATCGTTTCGCCATCGATCTTCGCTTATTTTCACAAACTTCGCTTCCGCGTTTGGCCCGGATCCCCAGCTCGCCCCCCGTCCTCTCACCTTTCCTTCCACCCCTAACTTTTTGCCCACTCCGGTAGTCGCACCGGGAATTGCCAATATCTAGCGATGGGGACGAAGCCTGTTTTGATACCTTGGTCATCCGTGTCTTCGAATTTTATTTATTTATTTACTAGTGTTCAGGCGTGCATCCGGGCCCCCCGACCTTGTCCCCGCGGTTTATGGCTACGGCTAGCGTGCCTTCGGTCATCGGCAACGGCAACGGTCGGACCGACGTTCGAGTCCCCGACCGATCCATTGTCACCAAAATCAGTCAAAATCAAAAACCCTAAGAGGGTAACATTTGCCGAACACGTGAGCAGCCATCAGCCACTTTACTGCCCCTTTTTTTTCTGCACTCATTGTCTTCAATCCCAGGGACCTCAGGAACTTTCCCTGTACGGAAAGTTCCTACGCCGTACACCTCCCCTCACAATCAGAAATAGTTACACCCACTACCATCGCCAACCACCTATCAGACAAAATTCGTACACTCCCATCCACAACATTTTCCACCAATAGAAACAGATCCGAGCTTATGTAAACCATGAACATCGCCAAAAAATGTCACTTCTTCTGTGCAAAGTCAACCGAAACATACGAAATAAAAGAACACACAAAAACCGTCCTCAGTGCATTATCGATACGTAACCTGCTCCAATGGCATTAATTTGTTAGACGAGCAAGCCGGGTTCGCGACTTCAGAAACTTACAACTTCTCCCAAGAAAGTCCGCGAGCATATCCGGTACAACTAGTGTTGGCTCCCACAAAGTTTGCGAAACCGAATATTTAGCAAATAGAAAGAAAATAACACTTATTTGCCAACACGATAACTCATTAACAATTTGAATATACAGGGTGTTCGATCACCCCTGGGAGAAATTTTAATGGGAGGTTCTAGAGACGAAAATAAGACGAAAACCAAGAATATCAATTTGATTGAGGCTTCGTTAAAAAGTTATTAACAAATTAAATTAAAAAATTTCGAATCATTGTGGAAAAATTATTTTTAGTTGCGGGGGTCAATTACAATCATTTTTGGTCAATAGACACACCCCCGAAATCCTACCCATTTTCTAGATAAAAATTCGAAAAGGTGTGAAATTTTTCAAGAAAATTAAAAATTTCCAATCGTTCTAAAAAAATTACTTTTGGTTACAGGGGTCAATTGCAATAATTTTTTGTGAACAGACATACCCTCGAATTCCTAGGTACTTTCGAGAAAAAAATTCTTTACCGAAAATCTAATGTGGGACCAGAAATGTTGCCCTGAAATTTCATGCGTATGTTTAAAATATCATAACTCCTGAACGGATTGGACGATTTTAATGTTTCAAAATGCAAACGACGCGTATTTTAGTGAAGAGTATATAGAAATTTCGAAAATATTCGAAAAGTTGGTCCTTAACCCCATAAAGTTAGAAAACCCCCATAAAAATGGTCCAATTTTCAAATGTCCAGAACTCCTACAATAGTGAATATATTTCAGTGAAACTTTTTACAAAAAAGTATTAATCAAAATTTCCGTAGCGTGTCAAACAACTTTATTAAAAATGAAAAACGAATTGTTAAAAAAAATCGATAGAGCTTATTCTTATCGACGAAAATAAAAAATTTCTAATCGTTCTGGAAAAATTATTTTCAGTTACAGGGATCAATTATAATCATTTTTTATGAATAGACATACCCCCGAAATCCTGCTCATTTTTGAGAAAAAAATTCTGTATAGGCGGAACTTTAAACATTAATAACTTTTTAACGAAGCCTCCATCAACAAATTGGTATTCTTGATTTTCGTCTTATTTTAGTCTGTAGAATCTCCCATTACAATTTTTCCCAGGGGTGACAACATTGTCACAAAGCTGATATGAGTCATACTATCTAAATTGATATCGGTTTTAGTTTTTGTTTATTTAACACATTGACAACTAATCGATGGAATTTTCACGCAGGATTGTCCGTTTACAAACACACAATATGCATATTTATACTAACTGTATGCAACCAAAATTCGTAAACAACATTTAACGGACACTAGATAGGAATTAATTTTCAAAGTATATTTAAATTTTCTCGAATGTTGATCAAATTTACTTTACTTGCGTTTAAGAAAAACAATTATTTCATTGGGGAAAAATAATTTTTGGTATCATTTATAAACTTGTGTACAAAATTATCTTATTTATCAACATTGTGTAATTGTATTCAATGAAATATTACTGAGCTAAATCATGTTATTACGTGGAATTCACGAAAAGTGTGCAACTGACAAAGTGTTTGGAAAATACCAAAATTTTCGGGAAAATCTCGGTATTTGTGAAACAAAAACGTCTGTAGTTGCTTTCGTCCATCCAGGGGTATTCTTGAATTGAAGCAATGTCTACATGCACTTATGCTGAAACGGCGGACATGCATTTAATGTATGGCTCAGCGGATGGCAATGAAAGCAAAGCACGTCGTCTGTCTCAGGAACACTTTTCGCGTTGTAGGAATCCAAGCCACCCTGTCCCTTGACTCGAATCTGTCGACTTTTATTCGCAGATACATTTAAAATCTATCTCGTACGTCACAAAAGTTAATAATGTTGGAAATCTACTTTCATACAAATTATGAAAATATGTCTTCTGTTTGTTTTCGGTTTTCATTGTTCGTTTGGTTTCTTTGTAGAGAAAGTTGCGAAGGAACTGAAGTTTTTGAACCGTTACTAGAAACAAGGCTATGAATCTATAACTAAAACTATAATTTACTCGGTATAGAGTCGGGATCCTGTTTTGTTTAATTATCACTTGTTTCGAACAATCTCGAACTTTTTGCTTCCAAAGAACCAGCATGCTGTTGCAGAGGAATACAAATGGTTCCAGAGCAATGGCGGAAGGCCATATACGATCATGCTTGAAATTATTTATTATTGCAGTTATAATTTAATAAACTGAAGTTTCGAAATACACAATACTTTTCATAAATAATAGGAACCGTTTTATTGCAATTGCTTTTTGTTCTATTGTAAAATAATGCTATGATCAAATTATGAAACTTTGAAGTTCAGAAAATTCTGAAAAATTGAGTGAAAGTGAAGTAGTTAACCTTAACCCAAAATCATTTGCAAACTATTATATTTAAAACTTCTTATATCTCGTTTCGTCCTTCAAAAGTCGTCAGTGCCAAAAGTTACTGTGAGATGGCAAAGAAATCAAATTAAAAAAGGATTTATTGAAAGCCTTACGAAGACTTAGAAGGTCTGATCCAATACGATCCTTATCTCCTTTCATGACTAATCTTCCTTTTTCCTCCAATTTGATTTAATTGTAAAGAACGTAGGATTTCACATTTCATCAATAAAATATAATGTTTTCACTGGTGAAAAAGCAATAATGAATTTAAAAAAAATACAATTAAGATATAAATTTTTAAAACCTTCTCCATAGTTTTGCACGAATACATCGATTGTTAAAAAATTCGTAAGTTAACCAGCAATGAAGATCGCTTTGATGCCTTTTTAGTGCCGTAATACAATACTCGTAACAGTAATAATGTATACGACATCGGATTAGTCCCATCGCTATCCAATATCTGCTCATCTAGCAATTCTTCCAACCAACAGTGGCGGAATCTCGACTATCTGTTCTATCGTTATCCCGGCAGCTGTCTTACTTTTTCCTTCGCTCGGTATCCCCCTCTTCCCTCAAGTTTCGATACTTCGTACAACGTCGGGAAGTTTGCAGCGACGCTATAGTTGTCACGAGCGTTCGGCTGGAAGAAACGAGTTTCCAGTTGCGCTTTTCCCGTAGGATTTTAGGAACTCTGATGGTTCGTTCCCTTGATCTAGTCCCAACGAAATAGAGACTTTCAGTTTTTCTTTCCCCTAACGAACTCCGATCGTCAAGTTCCTTTTTCCCCCGCTAATATCCCACGGGGAATACCACGAGGTTCTCGATGGCGAAGTACACGATCAGAAAAAATAAACGAGATCGGAGAAAGTAGTTTCACAAATAACGATTTTTCCAAAGTAAAAAGTGAAATTTTTTTTAAACGTTGATCGACTTTCGACAGATAAATATAAAATGTTTTTGTGAAACGAACTTTGGCACGATATCTGAAACCAATAGTTTGGCGCGGCATCGTTCCTATCGCTACTTCTGGTCACTCTATCGCGTGAACTGTAAATTTGGTCGCAGAAATCGACTGTCCACTAAAATCCCAACTAACTGGCGCCTATTTATTTGCTCTGGTCTTTGTCCACAGATGTGCAACGAATGGGCGATAGACACACCGTGTCCGGCCGGTGGCCGAGACTTCTGCAGATCGCTGCACATTTTGGACAGCAAAGGAAACAGCGTCTTGGCAAGCAAATTTTTTTTCTCTACACTTGACCCTCCACGATCGAGAACTGCCCGATAAGCTTCCTCGTTCCTTAGAAATATTTTGAACCGTTGCCCGGGATTTCGTATTAGCGCCTCACTGCGACGAGTTGGAACGCAAACTCTGCTCTGTTCGTTAAAAAAAAATAGCAATTATTGACACAAATCAATCTTGAAATATGAAATATCAGGTCCACTTGCATAGGAACTGATTGGATAATTAGAAATTTCCGATTAACTACATTTAATGTTGCAACTTCGTACGAAAAAGTTGAATTTTACAAGTATATAGTTTGACACACCGCACTTTGTTAATACAAACAAGTGCTCCAAATATACAAATTCATAACTGGCCAACTATTACCCAAACAACAATCGGGTCACAGTTATACGAATTCGTACTGTTATAATGTTTACAGACATTAGTTTATACAGTTTGTTAAGAATATGTCGGGGAAGGAACATTTGAACGCGATAGAAAATGGTGTGTCTATATCTCTGACAATAAATCTTGTGATAAATCTTTAAACAGAAAAAGCGTGGCGCTCGGTCTTGATGAAAAATGTGATACTCCTTAGCGGCGAGCTAGGGAAAACGAGCAAAAGGGGAACTACTTTTTCACGGAATATAATGTTGACAAGTCAGCCGTAGACGCAATAAAAACCAACCAAGATAAATAATAAAAATACCATGCTAATATGCTTGCAGTTGCATCCATAATACTAGGAAGAAAACGATGTCTACTACAGAAAATGATCCATTTTTTTTTTTTAATTTTGTAGCATTATTTAGTGGCCTTAGCCTTGGCATTTTTAAACATAATTTCTTTTTACTTTATACAAGAAACATTGCCATATATTTCTTCGAAGTGTATAAAATACCATTAGGCTTGTACAGTATTATTTCATACTATTGAATTCGAAGTTTTAAACTTGGGAATTTTGGAGTTAATAATTTTTAACTAATATATATATACAAATAATAATTTGTAAATGTCCCTTTTTCGTTTAACTCTTTTCTATCTAAGTGATTTATTAGATTGTATGTTAAGAAAAGTCCGTAATCCAAATAGTTCTGCAATTGTGCAAAGTTTCAAAAAACTAGGCGAGCATCGCTTAACGATTTTTCCTCGTGTACCAACTTCTCGATGCATTCGAACCCTTCGGATATTCCTCGAGTTTTTCAATCTCACGTTCACAGGAATCTGGCTAGTTCCGAGTTAAAGAACTTGTAGAGGGAAGTAGAAACGAACAGAATTTGCGTTCCAGCCCGATAGGATGCTCGCGTTCCTTCGTGCACGACTCGATTTAATCATGTCAGGTCGTACCGATAAAATCAACACGGTTTCCGCGCGTACGTGAAATCATTGCATGCATGATGAACGGACGACCGATGAAAATCAATCACTGATTCCGTCGCGTCACGCTAATAGCCGCTGCGTGTTAAATACATTTATCGATTTCCCTGTTTGTTAATGGACAAAGTTGCGGAAGCGAATTTACGCGCCAGAAGGGTGACGCTGCAGGATCCCTTAAGAGCCCCCACCGACTAAGCACTATCCAGAACTCTTTCAATTATGAACATCATGATCAATTAGATCACCACCTCGTGCCACGGGCTTTTCAATCGCGAACAGTTTCCGCTCGTTGTTCGGTTAATTAATGCCTGGGTACCGTACGCCGTTCGTGGGAAGATCGACAGGTGACACGGAAGAAGGAAGCTTACGCCATCATTTTTCTAACGGAAATTGTAAACAGAAGCTCGTCAGCCCTAATCGGGGGACTAGATCGTCATAGTAAGAATTTCGAAATTGGCGTTCTATCTAGGACGATTTCATATCTTCGTTTTTACATTGTTATGAAAGATATTAAAATTAAAAGTGTGAAAGAATCTATACCCACTGATTGAAACAATAATACTAGGAATTACGGAAGATTTAAGAAAGATATTACAGTTGAAACTGTGCAAAATTATTGTACATTACTGTAAGCTACACAGTGTTACAGTGTTTGTAAACTCGAGTCTCATCAAGTTTGCTATCGGTAACTTTATCGTCGTGGCACTTAAGTATAGCAAAAGATACATTCAAGTTAATATAAACTTGAAATAGAATTCTACGGTTTGAATGAAAAGAAATAGGTTATTACATTACCTTGTATGGTTGGTAAACGTACAAAATGATGCCCCATAGCAATATTATATTCTCCCAAACGCACCATAACAGATTGTAATGTTCTTCGGGTCATTTCCGGTGTAACTGCAGCAGAACTCCTATTTATTCCTTGTTTCGTATAATGTAATGGACGCAATGAACAACTCCAATGGCCATCTCGGACTCCAGAATCGACACCACTAAATTTCTTTTTATGGATGAGATAGAGGATATTTTCCCTGCGCCAAAAAGGATCCATGGAACATTACAATCTGTTATTGTACGTTTATACCGATATTGAGAAAATATTACTAAAATAAATGAAGTAATTTAATAACTTATTCGCTTCTGAACCCTGTTTTAAGCCCATGACATGCAATTTCAAATAATATATTATATTATTTCATAAAATCACTTTCAATCAATTTAGTTTTTAGTTCTTTCCAGATACATATTCTACATAAAACGAAAAAGTAAAACAGATGGATCTGACTATAACATACTTTAGACTTCCTAGTTTCTTTGATTGTTGAAATTTTTAAAAATTTTAAATACATCATAAACAATTTAACATTAACGAACTTTTAGACGAACTTGTAAAATCAGCTGTGATTTTACAAAGAAATTGGTCCATTCTATGCTAAATAGATTAAAGAAATAGTGAAACGAAGAGGACATGTTACAAAATATTAAATTAGAATTTAATACGGTATTATATAAAATGTGCCAATACTTTTGTCCAGGTATCAGACGATAATACAACAGATTTTCATTAATTATATGTTCTCTATTTTATTAATTTTGTTCTACCTTTGTGTATAGGTAGGTTGTAAAAAAGTAGTGAAACAAACAATTTTTTCAATAGTTTTCAACGTTTTTATACCAAATCGCGTACTGTGCTAATAATTATGTCCACCACTGTATGTATCTAGAGAAACTTGTTCACCGACATTTTGATTACTTTCAAATAACGTCACAGGCAATAAAATATTGAACTGTTATTTCAAATAATTGTCGTTTAGTTTTGTATTCGGTATAATTCGTCAGGATTTTGCTGCGAAATAAAACAGATGACCTTCGAAACTGCAAAAGTTTCGACCACGAAAAGGAACTTCTTTCTCTATCGTATTTGCGCCTTAAAGTTATGCAAACTATGTCGTTCAAGTTCCTCCGTGCCTTCAAAATTAAAAAAGTTATTCGGTTGTTCCGGATCTGATGAAACGGCCGGTACAATTTTCAGACAGAACGTCGATCCCGCGTAAAATAAAATTAAAGCACGCCCGGGCGCAGTCGACGAAAAGTAATAATTTCGAAACATGTGGCAATTTCGTGCCACTTGAGAGCTCCCAGCCATTTCTATCGAAAATCCCGTCTCCGATGTTTCGGAGTCAGCGGCGATCATTACGACGAATACCCTACGTACAGGAGATCGAAGAGCCATGAATTAAACAGACGAACATCGGTGACTTTTAACGACAACGGGGATCAATAGACCACCCCGGTTACATCATACGACAAAACCATCCTTCCGCGAAAGATCGAGAACGAACGCACGAACGAGCACATACGGAGCGATGATCTGCGTCCCGAAAAACAAAGCAGCGCGAAACGATCGACGATAAAACGCGTTTCCGTTTCAGGTGAGCAAGAGCTGCGCGAGCAGCGAAGAATGCGGCCCGGCGTCGGTCGGTTGCATCCCGGTGGACACGCAGCAGGTGCGAAATAGCGAATTTTTCCTAGTACCTGGCTGTTCTTTCCAGTCCACGATTGAGCCAAAGCAAAAATACGGACGGGGAGAAAACGGTCACGCATGGCGGGTGAAATAAATTCGGTTATTTCGTTTCAGATCTGCATCAGCTGTTGCGATCTGAGCTACTGCAACATCGACTCGCCGACCAACGCCACCAACGCCATTTTCTCGCGCAAACGGCGCGCCAAGTCGAAGCCGAAGCGCAAACGACCCGGCAGAAACGGGGTCGAGGGCAGCCGATCCTACGGGACTGGCACTCTATGGCTCCTGGCCTCACTCTTCTATGCATATCACTGCTGAGGGAGCAGCAACGCGGAAGAACCGGTTAGAAAACACCAGCCGTAGAACCTCGTCGAACGATCCTCCGACAGTGTCTCGGGAGGCCCTTGGATTCGCCAGCCAAAAACTGTCGTCGAAACCTGAAAACGAAGCGACTGATCAACCTCTCGACTTACCCCTATTCCTAATGTTCTCCTTTAATCGCTGCGAGTGCACACCCATCGCATCTCATCGGTCACGATCCATGCCGGGGCACGCTCGTCACTCGAACATATCTTCTTTTCCGCAAGGCTCTAACTGTTGAGGTGTACTGGAACATATGACGTATTTCGAAACCTCGATTTATTCGATTATAACTGCCACGAGAAAGTCTGTCGTACCGTGAACAACTGTGTTTCATCGGAATACCGCGCTAGTTCTTCATTTTCCCGCATTCGATCAGAAAATGGACACCGTTTGTTTCCAGTAATGGTGCCGAGGCATCGTAACTTTCATTTTTTTCATCAAGCGACCAATGAAGACACGAACAAATGTAAGATATATTTTCTTAATCAGCGCAAAAAGAATTTTCCAATGATACATTGATACGTGCACTTTATTTCGATAGACGGTTTGCTGTTAAACTGGTGCATGTGAAATGTCGTTTTTACGAATAAAACTTTAACGTACGAGTACGTTCGATTTAACAAAATTGTCACTTCTAGAGTCTAAAAATTCTTGAAATGCTGTTGTTTACTTTCTTTGTCTTTTGAAAAGTGGTCTAAATATTTAAAGAAGTGAAAGTCTGTAGAGGTAATGTCTGGAGAATAGGGAGGATGTGCCAAAACTTCATACTTTAATGCTTCGAGCATTTGAATCGTTATTTTCGACAAATAACGATTGATTTCATTTTGCAAATCAAGTATGCATCATTGCTAATAATGGAGTTTTATTGTTTTTAGGTAATTATTTAGAAGTTTGCCCTCCTCACCGATTTTCGTGACCTTGAAATATGTTGTCAAGGATCTCATTCTGAACAACTTTTCCCTATACACATTACCGTCGCTTAGTTTCCGAGATATTCATAAAAAATTGTAGTTATACTTATGTCACCAGTACACTGTATTCCGTAAAAAATGGAGACTGAATGATGATTGAAAGAGTGATTGAAGTGGTTCGAGGTTACATTTTCTGACGGCGAGGGGATTTGGTAACAATAGTATGTATCGCAACATTTGAACATTAGTTGTTTACAATGAAATTCTAACAACTTATCGTAATCATTACACGAAATTAAAAATTCATATAATTTCAAACTTCTAAATAATTACCGAGCAGACTAAAATGAAACATCAGAAAAGCGACATTTCATATGCACCGACCAAACAGTAACGAGAACCAAACTGACTAAAATTCCGTAATATCTTTTGGGACACCCTAATATTTCTATTTGTCCTCGTTGATGGCGCAAGATAAATTGCGAATCGCAGACGGAGTCGTATCGTATTATTACACGGCGATGATGTATCTTAGCGGCGTAAGGTAGTCGAATTAGTCTCATCTTTCCCTTCGTTAACTGGGCGCCGAAGAATAATCACTCACCCGCCGCCAAAGGAACGAAAACGTCAGGAATCTCGCAGGTTATTCAGAGTACGAGAAAAAAAAAAAAAGAAAAACCCCCCGTCTACGACACCTGTAGTCGACGTTCGAGGGCCGTTCGGAGTCTCTCAGTGATGGAAAAAGGAATTGTTCTCTTCTCGTAGTAGCGTAGTTGCTATGCCTTGTTAAAACGAAAAGAAATCTAAGGTGTAAGTTCGTGTTTAAGGGTCGAACGGGCTCCCGTCGTCGCCGAGAGGACAAAACGAAAGATCAATTTCCGCGCGACTTAGTTTTATTGAGTCGTTCCGTTTCGATCGAATGCGCGGCTAACGTCGTTTCCGCGATGAAACAACGGGCGCAACGACGAAGAGAGGAGCGCCGATTCTCGGCTCCGGAAGCCCTGATTCAAGAATTTCATTCCGCCTGTTCGCGAAAAATGAAACGTTCGGTGTATCCCTGTTGGTTCGTTCAGAATTTCAGTACCTGCCGATCGTACATTATCCTCAAGGCACTTGTTAGAACCTGCGAATACCTCATATGATTCGCAACTATTTCATCTAGAACATAACGTAGGAAACCACTTTCTTCCATTCCCTTCCTGGTGTAACCATTGATCATTCACTGGAACCCGTAATTGTAAATGCTCGAACACTTTGAAGTGTCTTTTAAACACGAAAAAGTTCTTGAACAATCTTGCAACATCGATTAATACCGTTTTACTGTTGTAATCTTAATCTTAATTAATTTCCACCGTTAATCCGATTTCTTTTTCGTCTTCTATGCAAGTGGAAGTTCTTGAAAATTTCCAAATATTTTTTACTGCGCTGCTTAATACCATTTCTTGAACATGCCTCGTTCGGACGGACACCTAATTGTCGCAAGTTTCTTTAAAACCGCGAAACCGTTCTAAGTTCTTCTCGCAACTACCTCTTCTCGATACTCGATTTTCTGAATCTTCAAAGGAAAAACTGTATACCGGAAACAGCGCTCTGTTCTTTCCGAAATCAATTTTCCATTCGACTCATCGTTCGAGCAGAAGCGAGGACGTTCGATTTTCGTCGGTAAGGAATTTCTTGAAGGGAAAATTTGGCTCGTCGCGCGCTGGAAACTCACGGGCACTCTCGTATGCCGTGTTTAGCAAACAGATATGCAAATCGCGAATTACGCGAGCGTGACGCGCGCGCGAGTTTGAATTATCGATAAACTGGAATTACGCGTACCTAAAAGCTGTTTACATACCTACAGACTCGCCTACTACAGACTATTTATTGCTATTACGATCACTAACAATTATATACATAAATAAATAAATAAATGAATGAATGAATATATATATTATGATATAGAAATTATAAATTGTTTCGGCATGAAGATGTAAGAATACTGTTGGTAATGAAATAAAGAAAACTATACTTGTCAGACTGCCATTTCCTGAATATTTTTTCTTCTTTAAAATATGAAAAACCTAAACCTAATATTCGTTTCGAATCGATTAATACAGAATATGGAATTTCATCAAAATGGACGTAAATCTTTAAATACTTAAATTATATTACATAATATAATATACTTAAATTACATTAATTTCAAGTTGTTAGAATAGAAATACTGCATAACTAACATTCGATAATTTTGATTAACTATAGACGCCATATTCCCGCTCTTTTTTTCGAATACCACGTGTGTGACCTCTTTTTCAAATAGAATCAATCATACACGACCTGTAATGCATAATCCTACATCAATTTACTTTCTGACAATATTAATGAACGAATTTTAAAACGAAAAAATAGAGAAACTTAGCGCGCGTTCTAATTGCCTCCGACTGCGATGGATATTTTTCAAAAACTTCGACTGATTCGTATTACACGTATGCCAAAGAAGATGCTTAAAGTAATTAATTCGAATTATCGTCATAACGTTATAATAATTTCGATTCGTTGATACAAAGATGATTTTTCAAAAAGATTATCTGTAAAACAACTATCACGTGACGTCCCGTTTTTCTGTTCGAAATCTGCCAGGCGGAGCCACCGTGTCCCGCGCACGCGCATTGTCAAAATCTATATTAAAATGGAGGAAAAGAGTCAAGTCGTGGAACGAGAGGCTAAGAAGGATGAAATTCATGAAAAAGATGGAAAATCCAAAAGGTATGTGAACGATAGTGTATTCCACGAGAAACATTTACTGTTCGATTTTCGAATGGCACAACTGGAAAATTATTTCCTTTGATACACTATGCGTGGAAGCGATGGATGGCCGGTAGTCCCGTAGACACAATTTATACTTGTTTCTCTGCGATTGTCTTGTAATTGTCAATGATCTTGTTTTTGTATAAACTAAAAATAATATAAAATGTTCTGTATCTTTATGTCTTAATATCTGGAATTATATCGAAAATGTAAGATTAGGGTTACGCGTCACAGTAACCTACTATGCAGCACCTTAAAATTGTAGCACATTGCTTTATAAATGTTCCGATAAATTGCAAGTATACAATTATGTAGTTAATATTAACCAATTCTGTTTCATTTAATCCTTGTAAAATAAATGTTCGTTTTATAAAAATCTAAATAACTGACCTCTTATCCTTTCCTTGACCCTTCCTGCCTTTTGTTTTAAGCTTTTGCATTTTGCTATTAAGATGTTTATCTGTGAGCGTGTGTGTTCCAAACCATATTCATTAACAATACATAAGGTGGTAAAACTTGAATGTGTATAATTTAGTTCAAAAACGAGACATCGCAAAAAGAAGAACGAAATGGCGCATGCCACTAGTGAAAATCATAACCATACCGGTCATAGAGACGAACATGACATGCATAACAAATGTAATATCTGGATGAAAGACATACAAATGGCTATGGAAGTGTTTAATATACAACAAAAAGCTGCCAAGACTCAAGAAGAAGCTATGCAAAAATCATATGAATTTTGGAGTACTCAGCCTGTCCCAAAAATGGGTAAACAATTCATCATAATCTGCTGAAGCATTAATGTAATTTTATGAAGAAAAACTTACATTACCTATCTATTGTATATAGATGAAAAAATTGTGAAAAATGAACCTATCGAACCTGATAAAACAGCCATAAGGCCAGAACCATATTCATTGCCAGCAGACTTTCAATGGGATACATTGAATCTTGATGATCCTTTAGTTTTATCCGAATTGTATACTTTGTTGGCCGAAAATTATGTGGAAGACGATGATGCTATGTTTAGATTTGACTATCCACCAAATTTTCTGAAGTGGTAGATAAAATACCAGTTTATAAAATTTATAAATTATTTTAAGTTGGTAAGTTTTTAGATAGTTCCTTTTAGGGCACTGCAACCTCCTGGTTGGTGTACGGAGTGGCACTGTGGAGTACGAGTCACAAAAAGCGGACGTCTAGTCGGTTTCATTTCCGCTATCCCAGCTACACTTCGTGTATACGATCAGTAGGTTTTAGATATTTTTCAGTAATATGACCTTCGGCATTTAATATACAAACGAAATTTTAGTTCTCAGAAAATGGTGGAAATAAATTTCTTATGTGTGCATAAGAAGTTAAGATCGAAAAGAGTTGCACCGGTGTTAATACGTGAAATAACTAGGAGAGTTAATCTACAAGGTATCTTTCAGGCTGCGTATACTGCTGGTGTGGTATTGCCGAAACCAATAGCAACTTGCAGGTGTGCAACTGAACGTGGTAGCAGGTGGTTAATAAGTGTCGATATTTCTAGTTATTTTATCATTAAATCGTTTCTGTAGGTACTGGCATCGTTCCCTTAATCCAAAGAAACTAATTGAAATAAAGTTCTCTCACTTATCTCGCAATATGACTATGCAGAGAACTTTAAAATTATACAAGCTACCAGAAAATACAAAAGTACCAGGATTTAGGAAACTGGTTTCAACTGACATACCACAAGCTCACAAAATATTAACCGAAGTAATAATTGTTGTAGAATTAAGATACGGAATTAAAAAAACGTAAAGTTGCAATATATTGTCGAGTTAATTTATGTTTCAGTATTTGGAAAAATTCGACTTGGCTCCGACTTTTACGATCGACGAATTCCAACACTGGTTCCTTCCACAAAATGGAATAATCAACAGTTTCGTAGTGGAAAATGATGGTAAAATCACTGACATGGTTAGTTATTATACATTACCAAGTTCTATAATGCATCATGTGACGCACAAGACGCTCAAGGCCGCGTATAGTTTTTACAACGTGTCCACCGTGACTCCTTGGCTCGAACTTATGACTGATGCATTAATATCAGCGCGTAATGTAAGTTTCACTGTTTACATTTGTAATAATACGAAGCAGACATTTACGTTTGTAACTTTTTCAGCTCGGTTTCGACGTGTTCAACGCGTTAGACCTTATGGACAACAAGGAGTTTCTAGAGCCTTTGAAATTCGGTATAGGTGACGGAAATCTTCAATATTACTTGTACAATTGGCGTTGCCCTAGCATGACATCCGGAAAAATTGGTTTGGTGCTCCAGTAGAACTCTAGATCAACGAATCGTTGTCTAGAAAATAAAATTTTCGCACGTGCAAGCTTACCAAAAGGATAAACGATATAAAAAAGGGGAATGGACGTTACGAAACTAATAGAAAAGAAAATAAAGCGACGTTGAAACGAGAACAAGCACGACCTCGACTCCTACCGATGGGCGTTTAAGGCGCATTCGATATGTAAAAGGAATCGATAATTCCTTGTCAAATTAAACAGGATGCCCTATTGAATCTCTCGGTTTCGCGGACGTCATCCTCGTCTCCGCCTTCACTCATGATCATGACATTAGGTCAAGGTCGAGATCGTAATACGCTTGTGCAGCGCGTGTGTATATACGTATGTGCGTGACTCGAGCAATGTAGATAAATATCGTACATTAGTAATTTGCAGAAGCCACGCGGTAGGGGAATTTTTCCTGCGGGTACATCAATCGCGAAGGCATTCACAGTTTTCAATAAAAACTCCCGGACGTTACGTTATGTAACCCGAGATCGGGTTCTTTCAGCATCTTCTTGATTAAATAGGTCGCAAAAAAATATGCCGAAGTGAGAGTGGAAGAGTTTAAATAAAACGAGGTCGAAAATAAATTTGTTTCCTGTGTTTGTTTAACCCTTTTATTTTGACCCTTCAACCTCGCCCATAAATTTCACTTTCTCTTTACGCATAGCGATCGATCGCAAAGATTTATGTCATGTAAAGAGAAAATCACTAGATTCCGTTATTTCTTTTTGATACGTGTCCACATCTCGTACGACGATGTTCGACGTGAACGCTGACTCATTATATCGAACGATGGAGTGACTTTAACCTTCCAAAACTTATAAATCACTACAAAATACTTTTCTGCCAGTGAATCAAATGTAATTAATAAACTAGGTTATTTATTCAATAAAAAAACATTTACGAAATATCTTTCATTACGTTTCTAGATCTAATTCCGATACTTGTTAATATTTGCATCGCACCGAAGGAAATGTAACTATTTAAATGTGTATAGTTTATACTAAGGAAATTCTATAGGTACTATTTGTATCATTTCCTTCATAAGTCGACAAGTTATTAAATTTAATAAAACATTTAATACTTCTTTGTACAAGAATGTATGTATGCTTTTGAAATGTAAAATACTCAAATCAACTTCTTTTGGAAAATTTTAACCAGTGGGGAAATAAAGATTTTTAAAGTCAACTAATGTAATGTAATTTTCAATTATAATGTAAAATATACAATTTTGTATATACTGCACGTCAAACAGAATTTAAAGTGTTATATGAGTTTATTAAAAAAAAGACAGATCCTAAACTCTCAAGATTTGAGATGTTCTAATTTAAATTGTATGTTCTTTCTATATTTTGAGGTATTCTTGTCACTAGATGGCGTTACCTGATGTGTATAGTGATACTACACACATGTTTATCCATATACACACACGCACAAAATACTCCAAAGAATAAAAAATATACAGTACATCAGACTGTATTAAAATATGGAAAACGTACAGAATGAGCACATTATACTACTTTAAGATATGTGGAATACATAGCATATATTAGATTGTCTCAAAGTGTACGTAATTTCAATGTATTCTGCATATTATAAAGATAAAATAAAAAAATACTGAAGCACTATTAATTTTATTAAATATTTTATGAGAAGATCTAGTACAATGACCTTTTGCTGACCTCGTGAGATACCATTTCGTTAGTTCTTTTATCACTCTTCAGGAATGGTCATGGTGCTCCAAAAAGGCACTTCTGAAGGCTACAGTTGCCAAACCTGTTTAAATGCCCCAAAACTTACAAAGTATACCGATATTATTGTACAAATATGAATTAAAGTTTCAAACAAATTTAAACATTTGTCAACATAACAGGGCAGCAAGATGGTTGCAGTTTACTTATACAAAATCATATTATTATTCGCATATAACATAATAAAATTATCATTCTTACTCAATTATGATATAGTTTAGTGACATGTACTGAAATTAATTCTGAAAACGTAATGAAATATATTTATCGAATAATAACTAAATCCTTGAATCAATAACTTATTTTAAGAACAAATAATAGCATCGTCAATCTGTCACATATAGGTTACACGTATCAAAATTAATTCTGCGCATCTATGTCGCGCAGACGTTAAGCGTCTTGGCGCGAGGACCAAGCGCGTGCCGAAAAGGGGAAGGGGTAACGGGATCTAGTGACTTTCCCCTTAGACGGCAAAAATCCACTGTCCCGAACGTACCCTTTCTGTACAGAATAAAGTATAAATTTATTTATTGCACTTAATATGTTTACAGTTTTCACAGAAGTGTCTACGATTTGATACTGCTTGTCTTAGCGCCGCTTTCCTTTCCGGTACTTTCAAACGATGTTATTGCGTAACAAGGGTCCCGCTTCCGGCGCCGATTAGATAGCGGTGAGACCAAACGGACACAGAAAGAAACCAGTTTCTAAGGAGTGTCATTAAGGGAAACGCCGCTGTTCCGACTTCAGTATCACGATTAATTTATGGTTGCGTGAACATCGACATCGTTAGAATATGCTACTCCTAAAATTTGTGATACAAAAAAAATTTTCAGAGTAGGATACGTTTGATTTTGTTCATCAAAGATCTTTACCAGTATCTGTTTCTTCGTTACATCGATATATGCCCTTAATGCGAGCCAAGGTCCTCGTACGACCGTTGCAGATCAATATGTAACACACAATATACGCACGAGCGTCATGCAAGGTCTCTTCAAGATAAAAGGCGCGAAACGACGGCCCTGTAGCGATTATAGCAGCTGACATTTACAGACTCGTTTAGATAGTGGCTGAATCTTGAACATCCGTGTGTGATAAATGATTTAAATTATTGAACATCGATGAATTTTTCAACAGGTATCGAGTAACGCTGTCTACCCGAATCATTTTCTTAGAAACGTTTAACGTTAAAGGTCTACGTACGATTACAAAAAGAAGATAGGTTTATATGGAGCATCAACAGTTTAATTCCATCAAAGGTGACAAAAAGCCCTTGAAAGTTTATCTATGCATATGATTAACAGGGAAAAATATATTGTTACCTTGGTCGTTATCGCCTTGTTATCTTAACGCGTAAAAAAGACGATCACGACCAAAAACAATTTTAACACCCTTGTAAAAGTGTTTCGCCTAATCAATTCGGCCGTTAAGATTAAAAGGATACATTCATTATCTTCGGGCTCGATAAATTGCCGCGTCGTTTCGCGGGAAACATTGATCATTCACGAACGTAACCGCCAAACAATTATAAACGAAACTAGCAACCAATTGTAATATAACCTTCCTAGCAATTTACGCGCGATCTTACCTCGCAAAATAGGAACACGTCCTTCGTAAAACATGTTCGTTTTCCTTGCCTGATAATTTTTCCCTACATAGAAATAGATTGCAAAACGAGTCGAACTTTGCTGTATAAGGACAATTAAAATAAGCATAAGCTACCCGCATACACGTGCAAACCACGGGAACCTTATTTACGAGCATCAATTAACAGAACGAGTATCACGCTATAATGTCCAATTACGATTATAGAATGTATCAATTGCACCGAGACCCGACGAAGCGCAATAAAAATGTCAATTTGCAGTCGCGGTTTGTTTAACGCGAAAATAATTGAACAAAGTGCGTAACCGACCGAAAACACCACGGAAACCACATTTCATCCAAGGAAAGAAGCCTGGGTCGATTCTGAAAAGACGATCGCGTCTCTATTGTCGGATCATATCCCGATCCAGATGCAACGTTGTCATTCATCCTTGATGAGGGTCTTCGATTCACGGCGAACGCAGGCCGGCTGCATTGATCTCGCAGTGTGTTCCATGGGGAGCTCGATGCACTCTTATTGTCGGCGAGATTGATCTCTAACGCGTGATGCCCTTTCACGCGAAGCCCAGGCGAAAAAAAAAAAAGAAGAATAAAGGAATAGAAAAAACGGAAACGAGAAATCACCAAACAATACCCGGAGCCAGATAACAGCACGAAGCGCTGACGAGGACGTAGGTGGGGAACACGAGACATACGATGTGGAATAAATAGTGGCCTGAAATCGAGCGGAATTCAGTCGCACCGCTGTTGTATCATCGTCGTTGGCGTTTATTCGCTACAAACTTAGCAGAGATCGTCGTGAAGTCAGCCGATCCTACGCGCCATCAGGATAGATCAATAAGTACCGGCGTTGCGACCTGTTCGCTCTGCATCGTCGCCAGACATCCACGGTAGCTTCCATCACGAGCTGCCTACGATTCATGATCCTGTCGACCTAATTCGAGGATGATCCCGTTGCTGTTGCTGACCCTGCTGGCTCCTGTACTCCTGGCCGATGGATTCATATTTGGGTACTTAACACGCGTATCATTCCTCCGTGAAACTCGAAATAGCCATAGAAGCATCGTACTATTTCGCTAGGAAAAGACCGTCGCGAACGTTGGCAAGTGCATCCTGGGGCTACTGAAATACCCATAAGGCGTTCAAGTTCAGGACTGAAAATATCTTATCTAATTCGTGTCATTGGCCGCGCTCGACTCTCGGCCCGCTAATGCCTCGTGATTCTCTTTTCAGCTTCGGACCGGTCACCCCCAAAGACGAAGGCAGACACGGTTTCGACGTCTATTGGAACGTGCCCACCTTCATGTGCCATAAGTACGGTCTGCGGTTCGAGGAAGTGTCCAAGAAGTATGGGATCCTGCAGAACGCCATGGACGAGTTCCGCGGTGATCAGATAGCGATACTTTACGATCCTGGAATGTTCCCGGCATTGTTGAAAGACTCGAATGGTAAATCGACGAACGTTCTTTTTTTATCCCTGTGGCTTTGTCGATGGAAAAGGAATAACGAAACATTATTCAGGAGCGGTCGTGGTGAGAAATGGCGGCGTTCCGCAAGAAGGTAATCTCACCAAGCATCTGGAAGTATTTCGGGAGCACCTGATCAATCAGATACCGGACGAATCGTTCCACGGCGTCGGGGTGATCGACTTCGAAAGCTGGAGGCCAATCTTTCGACAAAATTGGGCCTCCCTGCAGCCGTACAAGGATTTCTCCATAAAAATAGTTCGAAGCAAGCATCCGTTTTGGGACAGTCGGCTCGTCGAACAAGAAGCGAAACGAAGCTTCGAGAAGTACGGGAAGCTTTTCATGGAAGAGACGCTGAAGACTGCCAAGGAAACTAGACCGTTTGCCAGTTGGGGCTACTACGCCTATCCCTATTGCTACAATCTGACGCCGAACCAACCCAGTCCGCAATGCGATAAAACGACAATGCTGGAGAACGATAAGTACGCGATTCAGTAAGACTTTCGTGGTGCGTTTTAAACAACTTGTTCGAGGCGTCTCGTCGCGCCGGAGCATGCCTAATCGATTATCACAGTCGCTCGGTGTCAGTTTCGTTCCTTTGGTTAGCACCTTCTGCCAGGTGAGCGCGTGCTCCAGTTGCCGTGAAAAGACCCTCGAGGAGAGATTACGAGACTCTCGTCGAGATTAACGTACCTGGGGCAGGAATGTGTCAATGCCAAGGACTTGGTCGTGTTTAAAATCTAACTCGTTCTCGGATACATTTGTCTTATCTAATCAGCGCCGATAAGGAAACAGCGTGCAACCAACATCGTCTGTTCCTTTTTTTCAGAATGTCATGGCTGTTCGAGCTGGAGGACGTTCTCCTGCCGTCGGTGTACTTGAGGTCGAGCCTAACCAGTATCGAAAAAGTGGGCCTTGTCGCCGGCAGGGTGAAGGAGGCCCTGAGGATAGCACGGCAGACGACGCCCAGGAAAAAAGTTCTGCCCTATTACTGGTACAAGTACCAGGATCAAAGGGACGCGTATTTGAATAAGGCGAGTCCTCTCGTTTTTAAAACATTTTAGGGAATCGAAAGATGCGTCACCTGATAACGTACCTGGTCGGTCTTGAAAACGGATTTATCTTTGCAGGTTGATCTCGAGGCCACTCTTCGGAAGATCTCGGATCTTGGTGCCGACGGTCTCATCGTTTGGGGTAGCTCTAACGATATCAACACCAAGAAAAAGTGCCAGCAGTTCAGCGAGTACCTGAACAACGATCTCGGCCCCATCATAGATCGCGTCAAGCAAACCGCTCTGAGCTCGAGTCGGTACGACAGCGATCCTACGGATGATCGAGTCGACGTCACCGTCGATCAGGTCTGATCGCCGGTGCTGCAATTTTGCTAGAAAAATGCAAATCGTCGAGGGAGAATCTGAACGGTCCCTAGTTTTTAATTCTTACGTGTACGATTACCATACATGACGCGCGTGGAAAAGCTGTTCGACCTTCGACGGAGAAAGACGTTGGACGGGAGGTGTGTATCGCTGAAACCAAAGACGACTAGACGAGATGTTACTTGGAGACGTCGCGCGACACGGCGTCGAGTAACGATCGAAATAAATTTCCTACGAAATTATCGCTTCTTTCATTCCTCCTCTGGATCGTGGGTCACGAAACGTCGTAATATTCGACCACCTCGTTCGATTTACCAGATCCGTTCACCGTGGGTAACGATTCACGACGGTACGATAACAGGACTAGGACTTTCCTGTTCCGAAAATTCTTATCGCGAGTCACCGGCGAAACGGGCATCGGAGCTCGCGACGAGCGCACTTTAGCACTAGCGTACGACAAGTTTTACTGGTTCGAGGTGTAAGGCCTCGGGCGATTTTGCTTTTTACAGTACACGCGACGTCGTTGTAGAGGTAGTCAAAGATCTCTCTTGCTTACCGTTGATCCCTGCCCTCTCCATCTTGCTCGAAGAGTGATCCTTTCTCTTTCTGTTTCCCCGAGGATACCTGGAGAAACTTGGAGAACGAGAAAGACAGAGAACGGAACGGGAACGGCGCGGAACCGAACGTACCGAGTAGAAGGAGGAGCTGAAGGAGACTCCGGTGGTGGTGGTGGAGGTGGAGCAAGAGGAGGAGGAGAACGGAACACGAGAGATCGGCAGCACAGTTTCGTGTTCAGCTCAGCTCGGTTCGGCTCAGCCTCATATCGGATCTCCGTGTTTCGAGGCAAACCGTCCTTCAAATTTGTCGCTACAGATCGGCCACGATCCGGTAGTCTCCGCTGCTGAGCCAGCGGCAGAGATCCGGCCGCACACCGAGCGAGAATCGCGAACAACGCCGCCCGATCGTTCGTTCGTACCATTTGCTAATCTTTCCTCGGCATTCGTAGAGTGGTGCGTAGTTTGCGACGTCGCTGACGTACACCGAGGTGAGTGACAGTTTCTTCAGAAAAGCCAAGGCTGCAGCCGCACACTGGCCGAAGGCTTGAGATCATTGCCAGAGTTGCCAGACTGTGATCCGTGTCCTGCGAGTGATTCGATCGCGGTATCGAGTTGGCCGCGGGAATTTCGTACCTAGGATTACGTCGTGACCGTACAGCCAGAACGATAGTCATTTTTCCGCTCGAGCCCTTCGAAAGTGTTCCCCGACGACGTGACCGATTTCCTCGAGCGAACACGAAGAAGACAGCGTGAACCTGTGCCTCCGACGAACGTAAGAAGTCGGTGTCACGACTCGAACTCCTTAATTATCGTCCGAAACCGATCCCTTTCAGGTGGTCTTGTCAAAGCAAACGAAAGTTAACACCAGCTGAGTAAGTCGCGATTATCGCAGGCTCTTAGAAAGTGGCGAGACCGTGGCCAAGTAGCTGGCTCTCCGCCGGCTAAATAGTTTAGAAGCACCCTATCCGAAACGTTTTGCCCACTAATCCTAATACCAGACCCTATTCTCGAGTTAATGATAGCTCTTCTTAGACGCAACAGTTAACTTCCGAGCTAAACCGTTGCGCGGTAGCCGCCTCGCCATCGGGGTCCATTCTAATGAAGACCTTTTGCGACCGACCGAACTTGCCATTGTGCGGTTAATTGACTAATCTCAAAAATATCCGTGCGAAAGCGCGGGTATCTTGAAATTATCGTACGATCCAGGAGATCGAATAGACGTTTTAACAAAAAGAATTATACTCGCAAGCGGATCTAAACATTTTCACGACAATTTAGCGAAAATCCCAGGCACGAGATCGAAACTATCATCGAGCGCGTTACTTCATCCCGCAAACTTCGTAATATCATTAACCGGTCTCGTTCCCCCGAAGAAGCGATTTGTAGTTAATTACATCTTACGGTGCGCATCTTTTTAAAGCTGCAGGTAGCCCAGCTCGCCGAACACTCGGGACCAACTCTCGCTAATGTGACTGTGTTCGCGCCTTTCAAGTAATTGGGCCGCAGAAAATGGACAATAATACCTCCGGTTTAATTCGCGTCTTGAACCTCTCATTAAGTCGTTCAGTTACTTCTTCCCGTTCAAAAAAAAAGTTTCACACATCCGTGCACTTGTATGCTTGTTAATATCTACCGGGACCGAGTCTTTTTTACGAACGTTCCCCGACTAGACTGTGTGACCCGTAACCAAGTAAAAAAAAAAGAAATCGAGATCTTCCAGGGGGTCCATGACACTTGATACCGATATCCAAGAGGTCAGGCTGCAAGAGCAACCGAAACTAGCTGTGTCATTCCTCGGTGGTATGGTATCCCAGCCAACCCTTCCCCTTCCCCCCTCTCTTCGGATAACGGGTTATTGGTTACCAGAAAAAATCATTAAAAAAATGAAGTACAAATTGCCGTCACTCTGTGGAAGGAACACCTAGCAACCGATAGATTGCGAAATCGGTCGGAATAAAGGATCTTCTTCTTCGCGATCAAACTTCTTTTTTTCCGTCGATCCTCGAGGGGGTCGCTTTTCAAAACGGGTGCCCCGGTGAAAGAGAAATGGAAGAAGAGAAAATCGGATCGGAAGGGACGGGGAACTCGCGGTCGCTTTTTTTCGTTCGCTCGTTAGAAGACAGGGAAGACGCAGGAAGAGAGAATGAGAGAGCTAGTAGCGACCAGGCTCGAGGAAGACGAAAGGGCCCGTTTTAAAGAGGCAAGCATTAAAAACAACAATGTCATTACATTTTAACGACCTGTTCTTGGGCTCTGCCCTCCCTTTTAAGAACGTTCGTTTGCAGGTATGTGGTCCGCGCTCTCGCGGGTGCCACCACACCGGAAAGAGAATTCTTAAAGCGATACACACACCGTCCCCCTCCTATTTTCTCCCCCCCCCCTCCAGAGTCGCGGTTCGATTAAAAAATTACAGACCGGTCGATCTCGCGACATCGTCTTCGTGGAATAGTGTCTCGAGCACCTTGTACGTCGATCCTAACGTCGCGGACAAAAGATCCCCGATAATATGGTACACGTTTCTTGCGAAAGATGATCGAACCGGACGTTAAAAGTGTCGAGGCGGTCGGGCGTTGAAATTTCGACGGGCTTAAAATCGCGATCTAATCGAGGGAATGAAGAGGGTGCGAAAGTAGCTTAATCCGACACTGGCCGCTGCATAGGGCCCCTCCAGCTCGGGCCCGTACCCCCCTACCCAGGTCGATATCTCCCCACACACTCCGGGCACGCCGTGCAGCTCGCGAAGAATTAGTATGGGCGAAGCAACAAAAGCACGACGAACAAGCGCGGGGGGCTAGCGGAGAGTGGCGGCGAAGGAGGAAGAAAAAAAAGGAGCCGAGATGGCGCCACACGTCCAGCGTGTTTTCGGAGCATCCTCCGGTGCTGTTGGCAAACTCCTTTTTTTTCTCCTTCTTCTGGGTCCCCCCCCTTTTCCGTCTCGCTCTTTCACCCTTCCTCGCGCCTCCGGTCCACTCTCTCGCTTCTGGCGCGTTGTACACCCTCCCTCGGGGGCCGCTTCCTCTTTTATTTCGCTCCCCTTCTGGACCCTCACCCTGTGGGACCCCCTATTAGTTCGGCCACGGCACCGTATTGCCGGAAAAAAGGAGGAGCGAAGGACGGTCGCGAAATGCGAAATTGGGCTAGACCAAATCGTGAGATAGGGGATTTCTCATTAAAATGGAAGACCGTATTGCGCTCTGAAATTATCTTTTAATCTATGACAATGATCGGGCCCCTTGCATTCCTCGAGCTTCGTCGGCGTCAAGATGCGTAACGGATGATTTTATAGCGTAAACGGATCGTGGGCGTGCACCATCGTCGCGCCCCTTTTCGGGCAAGAAATTTGAAAAATACAAAACCTCTACAGCGTATTGGCGATTCTAACCCAGACGCGATTACGTTTAGATAAAACCTGGCCGAAGATAGTGCGGTCGGTATCGCGTACACGTAGCTGCACCTATTCGCCTTCCATTGGTCGAGATGCTGGAATCGCCCTACTCCTAGCGTTTCTTCTTCTGCCTCTTGGTTCTACCTTGTATTCCTTTTGTTCTCTTTCTTTCGCGTCTAAGTACTCCGGCAAAGAGATCATGAAATCTCTTGTGCCCAAGGCACCAGGGCCGTATCCGGTTCGATCGTCCCCTAGACGTTCCTCTACCTCTACGGATACCCCCGACGCTGATTCTTCATTGTCATTCACCCACCAGCAGCTTCTAAATCTTCTTTAATCACGAAACTCTTCGCTGGTACCTAACAATCCCTTCTCGTCGGTCGCTAAATCATTTTCCTCTCGCCTAATTGATCAGAGGCCAAAACCCGGCACCAGTCGGCCCGGCTAGGTCCCTAAATCACGAGGGTCTTCGAGAATCTTTACCGTTGATTCTCCGCGCGTTCTCCGTTCGATCGTCCAGTTTGCCAAACATAATTCTTCCCCCGCCGGGATGGAAAGTCCGAGTGAAATATGAATTCCTATTAGGCGCTTCCTGGAAGCTCGTCGCGTCACGCATCGCGGCAGCCCTTCGTAGGTGTTAAACTCGGGTGGACGGTTTTAATTCCGCGCTTTTTAAAAGGTTCCGCGGGAACAGAGGCGGCGATCAAACGAACAGATTCTGTCCGTGGCGTGCACAGATCGCCGGCACCCTTTGTGCCGGCCCGCCTAGGCTCGGGGGCTCGTCAAATTTGGTTGAAAATCAAATTAATCTCGCGGCTGGGCGCAGGACCCACTCCCCTCCCCCTCTGGGACTCACACTGTGCTTGTTGTTCTCTCGCTCGCTCGCCGCGGGCCAGCTTATCCTCGTCCCTCGTTCCCCGGACGACACGAGCAAATCGAAGGAACGGGACTGAGAGGAAGGTGGAGAAGGCGGTGGGCCGGAGGTCCTCCACGCCACCGACACGGACCCAGAGGCGAGAAGAGAAGGTGGCGCAGCAACAAAGAGCTTTGGACTTCTGGCTACGACCCAGCCAGGGCCGTATTTATTTTCATCTCCTCTACTGCACTGGCTCGCAACTTATCACTAGGGAGTTCGAATCTCAGCTTTTGAATGGTCATAGATTTTTCGTACGAATACGATTCGACGCTTAGAACTCTCGAATACCATCAATATCTTGCGTTTTGAGGGTCCTGATAAATTTAGGGGTGCCAAGAGATTCGATAGCGTTAGGTTGATGCACACGAAATGTCGCTTTTACTTTAACTATATGGTATTTTGATCAAAATAATTTTCACCGGATGCTACACATTTTTAATGGTAATTAATTAATTTGAATATCCCAGATTAAGAAACATGATCGCTTTTAGAGTTTAAAAATTTTCGAATTGTTATTTTTATACGTTCTTCGTTTCGAAATAATTTATCATTTGAAAAGTGTGGTCTAAATGCTTGAAAAGAACTGGGGAATATTCCTATTCCTGGTACTTGAAGGCCTCGCGTTATCGTGCAGTAAGATTGGTTTCCATCTGTTTAGCAATTCGAGTTGTTCTTTTACTTATTTTTAATGCATTTTTTCTATTTCTTTGCAGTAGAACTCAGTAGTAGTAGTAGATTTGGTGGTTAAAGGTAGTGAGTAAGTCCCTCGGATGATTATATTATTTTGTTTGGGTGAAGCGATGGTTTTGGCAAATGCTTTGGATTTTCATCTTTTTCCAGCCATTGACGATTCAAAAATGGATCTTGCTTGTTTCCTCAGAGCAATGAATTGGTTAGTCCTGTTCGACTAAGCTTTTGTGCATCTCATTTTTCCAGTTTTATTGCTTTTCCTAATTGAGCCAAATGATGCACAATGGACGAATAGCTTTCTTTCATTTGGTATGCTACTCCTCTTGTTTATTGTAGATTCTGTTGAATAATATTCCTTGAAACATCATTGTTAACTGCATTTTCCAGCCTTTTTCTTGATTCATTTTCTAGTGAAAACCAACGTTGAACTGTTTTAACATTCACATAACCTTCTCTTCTACCCTTTTTTATATTTGAATCTATTCTATTATAAGATT